TCAACATCCTTGTCCATTTCTTCCCTTAACCTAAATAACAAAAATGCTGAGAGTTTAGCTCTTTTAAAAGAGGAACTTTGGGCTAAACCTACAACAGACATTGGATAAATTCATTCTGGCTCCTAAAATCAGACAGTTGGCGTTCCTTTGGTTGAGTATTGATGTTCTTTGATTGAGACTGATGTTTTTATTTGGGAATCTGGGGATGGTTATCCCATTTGTGCCAGTAAAGGCCTGTGTGGGAATTTTCCCAGTTTGTTAGGAGTTTTCCTATTGGTAAGTATTATTATTCTTATTAAAAGTATGTGATTCTTGAATTCCAAACCTTGTAATGATTTGTTCCCCTTCTGGGACTCCAGCTGGTTATATGTGCAAAAATTATGGGCCCTCCATGTGTATTTATCTAGAGCAGTGGACCTTCCATACAAAAGATATTTTAGAATTACAATGGCTGAATTGGGATTCCTTTGAAATATCAAAACTAGGGTTGTCAGCAGCCCTACTTACTCAATAATTCTACTTATTGTCTTAAAATGTATTCAATAGAGGTAATCAAGTTTCCTTGTCAATTGCTGGTTATAATGCATTAACATGGCCATTCAAAGTCTTTGTCATTCATAATCATTGTTTTGATTTTTCTCTAAGAGTACCTGCAGTCAGCTAGAGTATTGTCTTAAAATGTATTCAATAGAGGTAATCAAGTTTCCTTGTCAATTGCTGGTTATAATACATTAACATGGCCATTCAAAGTCTTTGTCATTCATAATCATTGTTTTGATTTTTCTCTAAGAGTACCTGCAGTCAGCTAGAATCCAAAAAGTATTTCACCTTTAAGAAGGTTCATGGAAAGGACTTTGACCAAGTACAGGTTTTTGAGAACTTTAAGATTATACCATCGGATTGGGTGGAAATTCCTGGAACTCTTACTAATTAGTTCATAAAACTAACCCAACATCAAGTAGAATAAGAATTAACTGACTATCATGGAAATACTTTGGCAGATTTTTCAAGTGAGGGCAGCCAATGCTGCAATTAAGATGTGCAATTTGAATAAACTCCTTCAGATCGATCCAAGTCAACTCCCCTAGGTTGATTTATTTAATAAACAGTACAATGCACTTGATTTGGAAAAGCAAAACTGTTATCTGAAAAGATGTAAATTCAGTGTTAAACATGGACTCACAGGGGGCCTGGATGGCTGCCTGATCCTCCCTGAATCCTTGAAGCTTCCATTGTTAAGATCCTTGAAATTCATAATTTGCCATGGAGTAAGCAAAATGATACAAATTCTGAGAAAATATTGGTAGGGTGACTGATCTGAAATTGCCAAAATGGCTTATGGCCAATGTTTGGTTTGTCAAACCCATAATCCTGGGAGGACAATCAAAAATTCAGGTGGTATAGTTCTGCTACCCAAAAGAACATTTGAACATTTACAAAGAGATTTCATTCAATTCCCTTCAATGAGATATAAGTATGTTCTTCTAATAGTCTATGTTCTCTGGTTGTATAAAAGCTTCCCATGCAGGAAGGTCAATCTTATAACGTAGTTAAAATGTTATTGAAAAGTGTTATTTTCTTTATGGGGCATCTCTGGAGAGAGCTCCAACAGAGAAACCCATTTCATTGGGCAAATAATAAAATGTTAAACAAGGTGTTACAAACACAATGGCATTGGCTTTTTCCCTATCATCTTCAGTCTTCTGAAAAAGTTGAAAAGATAAATAGCATTTTGAAATGGAAACTGGCAAGATCAATTGGATTACCTTGGCCAAGGGTACTATCACCAGCTTTAATGGATGGAATAGTTACTGGAAGGCCTATGCCTTTAATAGTGGAATCCCATGTTTCTCCCCTTTTCCTAAATCCTGATATGAATAAATGCTTCCAATCCACCTGGCTTACTCTCAGGCATACGTCTAGGCCTACCTGAAATACTACTTCCTTACTTAGCTCCCACTGATCTCTCACTGTCCCGCCTCTGCCCCAACCAGGCAATATATTTCTGACAGTGCTTCCACTGTGGTCTTTACACAGGAAAATAACTAGGGGACAATGTCATATGCACAGCAGGGCTCACGCCTCCTCACCAAGCACAGGACCAAGTGCACGCTGTCATTGAACTGAACTACAAAAACTATGTCTTTAGAAAAGGATTACTCACAGGGTTACTTTAACCTCAGCCTCCCTTAATAACCTTGAAACAATAATACTCATTGTAATCCCTGTGAAGTACAGCAACCTTTTTACTACACTTTGAGAGAAAACCACCCCTAAATAGTCATTAAAATTCAACTTTTCCAATAAAGTAGAAAGCAAGATCGCAACATCAAATCTTCCAAAATCTCCAAGCTGCAAGATTGCTCCATTGATTTTGTACTTTGCATCAGCTCCACTTACATGAGCCAATTCCTTAAAATGAATGTTTCTCTCTCCAATAGGATATATTATATGTGTGTGTGTATGTGTTTATACAGAGGTGTGAGAGGAACAATCACTGCTTTCTCTTAACCCAATCTTTCCATTCTCATCTTATAATCAGCCCTTTCAAACAGCCTCTCTTCTTTGTTCTTGGGTCCTCAGCACCAGCATTTCCATTTCTAGCAACCTCAAAGGCCCACAGTGAGAACTTTGACACAAAAGACTTAGATATCTATTTACAACTTGGAGAAAAAGTTTACCCAATGGGAGGAGGAAAAAAAAAAAAAATCACTTCTGGTCACTCCCTCTGTGGATAAAATCTGAGCTTTTTTTTTTTGTGGCTGGTTGGTATGGGGATCTGAACCCTTGACCTTGGTGTTACAATGCCATGCTCTAACCAACTGAGCCAACCAGCCAGCTTAAAACCTGAACTGTATGTCCTGAATGGTTAATTTAACCTCTTTGGGCTCCAGGTTTCCCAGAAGGAAAAAGTGAGGATGCTAGATAAGACCAGTTTTTACCAAAAAATTGATATTTCTGTATACTGCTCATACTGCATTTTGAGGAAAATCAGATAGCTAAGTTAACAGTTAAGAGGAGTTTAACCAAAGTTGGAAGAATAGACTTCAAATTCAATTCAACATTTATGCAAAGTGGCATGATTTCAGTAACAGCCTTGACTAGCTGTTATAACAAGAACCTTTTAACTATTCCTTGGGGTATATGATAGTTGAGTACTCAGAAAATGTTTCCAATCATAGTATTTTAGGCTCAGAAGCAGGTAGATTATTTCACCTAGTCCTATCAATTTATCATCACAGTATGCAGTTAGTGAAGGTCACACTCAGACCAATGTATGGTAGAACCAATATTAAAAGCCAGGGTTTTTTTTTTTTTTTATTTGCTACTTAGTAACTTGGTTTAAAAGACAGTTCTTGAACAAATAGGTGACCTGACACTGGAATGAAGTGTCTCTGAATATCCAGGTCCCTTTGGAGAGCATTCAAGGGTTCATTTTATACCCAAATTCCTGTTCTTGTCAGTTAACTTTGTAGAAGGCTGGGTAGCACTAAGACTTAATTTCTCATCAGTTTAATTTAGGAATATTTGTACTAACTTAGCTTTATCAACCTTGTTCTTATTTAAAATAAAATTGGGGAGAGGGATTATAACAACCTCACACTCGCCAATGCTGGAACTCCGTGCCCTGAGAAGAGTCACCCGTGTTCCACACCTTGGACTCCCTGGCACTTTGTACATCTCAGGCAATGACTTCTCTACCCAGGGAATATAGTTTGGTCTTCACATCCAGAAAACCTACCTCTTCTTCAAAAGCAAAAGTTTCTCTTACTAAAGATGCACAGCAAAGAAAAGGGCACCAATTTCCTGGACCACACTTCACAGTCAGAGAAGGTGAAGCCTGGACACGCGTACTTACAGCTGCCACGTCCTGAGGGCCTGTCATGTTCTGGGCTTTGACTCTTTCATCTAACTCTCACAACAACCCCAAAAGGCAGTCATCACTTCTTCCACTTTATAAACTAAGAAACAGACTCAGATTAAATAAATTCTCCTCATTCACATAGCCAGCAAATAATAGTACAGCATCCTAATTTTTATTTTTAGGACTGAAAAATGTTTTCCCATTATGCTATGCTGCCTTCAAAAGCCTTCAGGAAGCCCTCTCTTACATCTGACCTGTTACTACCTATGCTGTTTGGGTCACCATTCCTTATCCTGAGCCAGGGTGAAAAGTTTAGCCACCAATTTCCATAAATGAGGAAAATGACTTGGTTTCATTTCTAAGTGGCTCTTTTGTTTAAAAGTTTGTTCATGAGTGCTGTTCTTTCTTAAAGAAGTAATTCTACTCTGTTATACTTTAATTAGTTGCTATTGACATCAATTATGTTATTGAAGCATGAAGAGATGTCTAATGGTTGAATTCGGACTGAGAGTCAGGAACTAAAGCTGTGGTCACAACTCTATTTTTCAATAAGCATAGCAATTTATCTTCCTATTAAAAAAACACACAAAAATGCCAAAAGGTAGGGGGTTTCTCATGGGGTCATGAAAAGATTCTCATATTAGATTATGGTGATGGTTGCATAATTCTGTTCAACCATTAAATTGTAGACATTAAATGGGTAAATTTTATGTTATGTGAATATCTTAAAAGCTTTAAAAAAGGACACATAAGAGATTTGATTGCTCAAGTTTCAAGTCCAAAGGAGAAACTAAGAAAAAAATATTAATTTTATCATTTCATTTTCCTTCTGTATTTACCCCAAATGTCAATTTGCTTAATCCCTACTACTGAAGTATTAAATAATAGAAGTAAACACAAAATTTATGTAAACCTTATAAACATCTAACCTTATAAGTAGAATTAGGCAATGATCAGATACTCTGCAAAGGGATTAGTCATGGGCCTCCTTAAAATTAGGCTCATATAACACAAACACACTGAAAACTAATGACAAATCACAAATCACTTTTTGGAAACTCATTCAATATTCAGAGCAGGAGTTACAAACACATTTTGAAAATCCCTCCCCATCAAGAATATAAGGACTATTTACCTTGTGACAAGGAACCAAGCAATTTTACTGAAGTCTGGAGAGGGCCTCATATATGTCTTAATATGTGGCATGGCATTGCTTCGGCCAGAAGTCTCAGCTGACCATTTACTAGTTATAGGAAAGACACAATCACTAATTAGAAAATACAAATTGGTCATAACCCTCATATTACCAAATTCCATGAAAAGCGAAATCCTATAATCTAAAAACAAACAGTGCATACACAGTTCTATGACCTGTGATATTTTATTTAACTCTGCTCAGGTAACAGAATGACACATGCTCATTCTAAAATGTAAGTAAGTAGAAAAATAGAACTTACCACTACTCACAAAAAGCACCATAACCTTCTGGCATATAGCCTTCCCCTCTTTTTGGCTATGGTCACACACACATGTGCATATTATTACTTCTGTTGTGCATTTAACCACACATGTGCACATGTCTCCAGCTGGACTATGAACTCCTTAAAGGCAGGAATCACGCTACCAGGCACATTACTGATTAGAGGCTTAGTAAAAGCTTGTTGAATGAAATGAAATAAAAATGGGCAAACTACAATCAGTATACAATAAAATTATTTTGAAAGGTAGGGGGATAAGTCAGAAATACTTTAATCAAATGCTGAAATTCACATATCAGAGTTTGGTTCTAAGTTTCCAACAGTGTAGGACTAAGGCTCCATGGGAATAAATGGCCTGTATTATGAGGCAACAATCCTCACTTATGAATATGAGCGTATGGTCTCTCAGGAAAACAAATCATCTGCAGGAAAACAATCAGGATTAGGTAGGTCTGTCACTATCTTCATGCAACTGAATTTAATAATCCAATACTGAAAGGAGGCTCAGTATAAAGAAATGTCCTCCATAATGAATACCCTCTCCAGAAGCCATTAAACAAAGGCTCCAGGATGACAAACTGAATTACAGTCGAAAGGTATGGATTGTTATCTTGCCTTCATTTCCAGCTAACCACTGCAAAAAACACCCATTGAAGAAAGCATGAAACTGGGATTGGCACAGAACACGCAGGATGTGCAACTCCTATAGCCAGAGGGGGACAATGGACTTTCCTTTTAATTGTCCACTCACCGACCATTTACTGAACTCTTGTGACATCTCAAATACTGTCCTGTGTCCTGGGAAACAGTGGCATGGACTGCCCTCGGCAAGCTTGCAGCCATACATCATATGATGGTATTGACAGAATGATTATATTTTATATTTTGGAAAAATAAAATGCTGCTTATGTAAATTCTAAAGTACTCAACATGATCTTTATTTATCTTCCTCATTGCATGCCCATATTTAAATAGAAACCTCACAGTGATAAATTTTACTCTTTGGTATTAAGAACCTATTCCAAAAAAACTTCCAAACCTTGTTTAAAATAATTTCTATCACTAACATATGTAGATGAAAGAATATAGCTATATTATATAAGGTTCTTTTTTTAAAAAACAGACTGACATAAATAACATTCTTATTCCTAAGGAGCAACAGCAGCATTCTAAATCACTTACTGGAAATAGGAATGCAGCCAATTCTGTTTTTCAGCTGTCTGGATGCTATAGGGAAGAGAGCCTCCAGCTTTTAAAAGAAAAATAAAATAAAAATTATGAAATATAATTTGAGGCTCCCTCAATTACGAAGAAAATCTATAAGCAGTGAGAAGGCAAAAGAAAAAAAAGACTGCTTCCTTATTTCATGTTATGGAATAGTTTTTTTGAAAGAAAACATCTATACTTGCATTAGGTATATTCTCTTAATGGAGTTTCCTTTCTTAGGATAACAAACATTTAAAAAGTAAATGTCTACTATCTGAAAAGGAAAATGTATTATTTAATCACCTGGTGGTGGTAATTTAACATCTCTAAGGGTACTTCAAAAAATTTGTGGAAAAATAAAATTAAAAGATAATCTGAATCTTTCCATGAACTTTTTGAAGTACCTTCATATAACAGCATAGATATAAAGTGTTAGAAAAGTTCACAGAAGGAATTCTGGCCGATCCTTATGCAGGTAAGAAATCAGGTGGAGAGCCTCTTTGTTTTTGCCCAAGATGACGACATTTGGGGAGGCAGTCTAGGATGAAAACTCGGTTCTCTGGTCTACTTAATTTTTACACACTGTTTCCAAACAGACTCTATACTAGCTGAACAGACTCTTACCAACAGAACAGAATGACCGGAAAACAAATTAAAACGTTCAGTAAACAGTCCAGTTTTAAAAAAGGAATTCTAAAGGCCTTATTCTTGCAAAGAGAATAAAGACACAGTTCCAAATGAAAACACAATTAGAAACCAATTTTCATTCATCTTTGAAAGGAAGAAAACTCCATTGTAGATTCATCGGTAACTTTCCAAACACATGTTGGAATGTCTCCATAGTAATCTATATCCAAAGAGGGCTTTAAACATCCCCAAAATACCAAATAAGGCATATCCTGTCTCCTACTGCAAATAACTAAAAACATATTCAATTTCAGAACCAGTTATAAAATAGCTTTATTGAAAGTACCATGTTCTTCCCTATTAAAAGTACACTTTGAATGAATCTAGCCTATTAGAGGAACAAAAAGAACACAAGAGACAAACCACCACCATGTCCCAGAGTCTCAGTGAAATAATTTTAGCTTTGCCATTAAAAGGCAACAAATGGGTATTACACTCCAAACCCTACTGAGATTTTTGTGGCAGGGTCACAGAGTTTGATTAGCAATAAATGGACTAAATTAGTCTAATCCAGTGCTTTCTGCTTTGAGCCAACCAGACTTCACTTTCGCCAAAGGTGTACACTATTTGGGTTCTTAGTTAGTACCTCCTGACTGCATTATCTAGGGTGCTGCTGAATTCCGAATAAAAGTTTAGTGCCCAGTACTAGTATTAGAGAAATGGAGGACAAGATAGACAGATGTCTACAAAACAATCCTAGGCATTTGCAGATGAAGCCCTTAAAAGAACAGACATATAAACTAAGTTATACCAAAGGTTTCATCTCAATATTAAGCATAGATTTCAGATCTTAAATATATCTGAATCCGGGGTTCAAATTTGGAAAAGCCATACAGTACCTCAGACACAGGCAGGGAGGAGGTGGAGGGAGATGAAGGAAAGGTGTGTCAGATATCCTCTGAAAAGGTACTGAGCAGTAGGGAAAGCAGTTTTATTTGGACATCTTGTCTGAACCCCTGTTATCTTACTGGTGAAAACGAGGAGAATAACAATTGTACATAGGGTTACTGTGAGGATTAAATAACATTCCCGAACTGCCCAACTCAGTAGTATCATCTTTGGAACACAGCAAAGCTCAATATTACCTATTTTCAGGATCTTTATCCACTTAGGGAAAACCATCTTCAAATTTCTAACCAATACTGGTAAATTTTATCAGGGCATTTATGGAATATACACAAAAACACAAATGAGACAGTCTCCCCAACAATTACCAGGATATCCTTCTAAGCTGGTCCGCACATTTTCCACAGAAGGATAGATCTAAAAATAAATGAGAAAAACAATAAAACTTGGAATGTACCATGCTGAAGAAAAGGAGTGATGATTAGCTTTTAAGAAAATGAAAATCTCAATTAAAAATACTTAAACATTTGAAAAAATTGAACTTCTAGTAATTAAGCTATAGGAAGCCTGTACATATTGATGAAAAAATTACACTTTGATTTGAATAGTTTTTTCCTCTGAAACATCAAACTAACACTGAATTGAATGCAAAATTAATTATTAATGCACAGGTCTCTAAATAATTTATAATGCTTATAATTCTGCTGGCAATATTACACCAAATATTTTTTTCCTTGGCTTGACAACCTGAAAGAAAGAATGGAAAAATTAGTCTGTGGCTGAAATGGAACTCATAAATAAACTAGCAAGCTCTCATCACTGGATGATATTAAGGCCGCTTGATTACAAATGATGCTAATGTACTGTTCTTTCCATCCAAAAATTATAGAATAAAACCTCTGTCTATTATAAAGAGAACTGATTTCTCAATTCTTCTCCTGGACTAGGGAATAAAAATAAATAAACTCAATGAGGAAGAGAACTCACTAAATGAAGAGGAACGACACTTTTTCCTGCAGTCTTGCTTTCCTTCCCCAGTGGCAGCAAGCTCTCTTTAAACTCAGAACATAACCATTTTGATTCATCAGTCCCCAAGGAGCCTATGCTTGAAAACTGACCTACTATAGGCCAGGACTCCGCATTAGGTATGAATGAGGCATGTTCTTTCAGAAGCTGTGAAAGAATAAAAATGAATGCTTTGGTCACTCAAATAATATTAACAGAAATACTGTAACATCTGAAAGCACAGTTTCCCACCTTTGGAATGTCTAATTAACAAGGAAATGCTGAAAATACTAGTGATCAATTTCATACCCACATATACTATTTTCCTTCTATGGGAAATATTTTTTAACAGAGTAGGTGGACAAGAGAAGTTTACTTTCCAAAATTTTTTGATTTCTACTACAAGCAAAAATGGATAAAAAAATTTTTAAAAGACCCATCTTAGTAGAAACGTCAGATAAACCACCAACCTGTCATATAAAATTAGATTTTTGCCTTGAAATCATAATTGCTTAATATATCTAAACAATAACTAGAAGATGAAACTATTGCATATTTTGACTCCTATCATGTTAAGAGGCTTAACATTTCCAGTTTAACACTTGGGCTCCAGGTAGCTGTGATGGTCTAAAAATAAAAGAGAACACATTTACATATAGATACATGCCACCTAAAGCACTGCAGAAGATTAATCTGCTTTTCCTGCTTTGATAAGTATGCAAAGCTGCAGAAACAATTCAGAAAATATTTGGAAATTTTATCCACTTACGTAGAGAACACATTTACATATAGATACATGCCACCTAAAGCACTGCAGAAGATTAATCTGCTTTTTCTGCTTTGATAAGTATGCAAAGCTGCAGAAACAATTCAGAAAATATTTGGAAATTTTATCCACTTACGTGCTGAGTGCCTACCTAGAGGGCTGGAGACAGCAAGAAAAATAAGCTGCAGTTCCTGCCCCAGTAGAGCTTGTATTCTGACTGATGTTTTGCTTAATTTAATTGGTACTGTTTTCCTTAACACAGATTAGGCATTAATATTTACATATACACCTACCAAAAAGCCCAAAGTTCTCAACTTCCATCCTGGGCACAGCATGGTGTAGGAAACAGAACTGAACTGACACCCTCGGTTTCTATTATGGGGCTCAGCCCCTGATTGGCCGCATGATCCTGGACAAGTCTCTGTGCTTCGATTTACACTTCAGTGGAAACGGGCAAATGATTACCTGCCTGCCTTTCCTGGGAGGGAGCTGAGATGCAACATAAGCTACTATGTGTGAAAAGTGGTTTGAAAGCTCTTAAGATGCTATTAAACTTCCAGTAAGATTGTAATCATGCACAATATATGCCATTACCTAGTCTGTCTACAGCATCAGTCCACAAACAAAGCCATTGGTGCTTCCTGAACACCTACCATGTGCCTTGCACTGTTTTACATTCGTTATTTCATTTAATCCTTCCACAATTCTAGGAGGAAAGTACTGTTATTACACTCATCTTATAGATGACAAGACAGGTAGGTTAGGGAAGAAGTCAAGGTCACATGGCTTGTATATAACAGGTCAGGATCTGAACCGAAGAATAGGTATCCATCTCCAGGGCCGTGCACAGAGCCAGTGTGCTCCATTCCCTCTCCAGGTCAAGACATAAAGCTGCTGTCTTTGAGATCTTGCCTGATTTAAGATGTGGTCTCATTTCAGAAAAGGAAATTAATATGAAAAGTTTCATTAACCAAGGGGAATTACATAGTTAATTCACAGAATAAGAAGAAAGGCCTTTTAAAAAAAAGCCACTTTAAGGAATTTACTAAGGTCAGTAAATGTCTAAAGAGAGATAAAGAAAATTTAACCTTCAACTTGTTTTATTTTGTTCATGACCTATCTTTGTTCGTTTTCATACCAGCAGCAAATATCATTTTTGTAATTAGAATTCTCTTAAGGGCACGGTTTAGTAAACAGAACACACTATAGCTCAGTTACAGCCTTTATTCAACACTACTGTGTATTCTTTGTTGAATTTGTATGTTAAAAATCTTTGATAAAAGGGCTGGCTGGTTGGCTCAGTTGGTTACAGCATGTTGATATGCTCATAACACTAAGGTCCGGGGTTCAATCCCTGTATTGGCCAGCTGTCAAAAAAAAAAGGGCCAGCCTGTTGCTCACTTGGGAGAGTGTGGTGCTGATAACACCAAGGCCAAGGGTTCGGATCCCTACATAGCGATGGCCGGTTAGCTCACTTGGGAGAGCGTGGTGCTGACACCACCAAGTCAACAGTTAAGATCTCCTTACCGTTCATCTTTTTTAAACAAACAAACAGAAAAACCCAAAAAACTCTGATATGCTGATCAAAAGCTGTAATATTCGTATGAATGAGAAGCCTCTATCTTTATTATAAGAAATATAAAAACCAAAAGTCCATATGCTTATACTATTTAGAACAGTCTATATCTATAAAAGAGGGAAAAAAACTTTAAAAAGAAATTATTAAAACCTATAATTAGACCATCAATTTATCAAGTGCCTGCTATTGGCCCAGAACTGTGCTAGAAATATTGTGAAACTGCCATCAAAATATACAATTTTAAATAAAAAAAGGAGAGAGAATGTACATTAAAATTTTTTAAAATGTTAAAATAGTAGAAGTTACCTTCCTAAGCCTAAAATGTCCCCAATTATCTTTCTGATTTCCTTGAAAGCGTCCTGGGGTTGAACCAATAAGGTAAACACTAAAAAGATAAAACACAAGTTATAGAACATAGTGATGTACTTTGGGCACTTGAAAAAAAAAAATCACAAAATACATATGAAAACTAATCATGAAATGTTCTGAGAGCCAATCCATTTTCTTGTGATATCTCCCCAACAGTAGTGATACTCAAACTCACTTTTAAACAAACCAACTAATGATGGAATACCTACAAGGTGTAAGGTACCAGGTGAAGAACTCATTAATTTTAAGAGGACCTTAGTGGGTGGCTTAAGGTAAGCAGTAAGTTTCACTAGTTGCCACTTTAATGCCTGAGAACCACGAGATGCAGATAGTAACAGAATCTGCTCTCTCCTTCATCACATCATGAAGCACAGCTGACTGTCACTCCACCTCTTTTCAAGTCCCTTTCACTCCTGACCATATGTGGCTGTCCAGGTATGAACTTCTATATAAGCACCCTAAATTGATGAGACAACACATACTTTGTTTCAGAGAGGTCATGCTCGTGGATGATATCTATCCACTCCTTGAGAGAAGGAGCATTATATTTCACTCCTGACCATATGTGGCTGTCCAGGTATGAACTTCTATATAAGCACCCTAAATTGATAAGACAACACATACTTTGTTTCAGAGAGGTCATGCTCGTGGATGATATCTATCCACTCCTTGAGAGAAGGAGCATTATACGCCATCAAGTAATTGATGAGATCAGCTTTAAAATGTGTTGTTGATTCTCCAGATCTGTGAGTTCCATGGACAATTCGTGGGTACAAGGGGCTCAACCATATTCTGGAATGGAAAAAAATTACTTTTAACAATCAGGAACGTGACTGATCATAATGATCTGTGTTATGCACTCACCCTATGGAAGAGGTGAATTCTTACTATGTGTCTCCAAGTGGTAAGTAGAGCAATTCTTAGGAAACATGAAACATAAACCTGATCACACCACTCCGATGGCTTCTCATCATTTTCAGAATTATTTCTGAATGCCTTGCCACAAATTTAAGACCCAGTAAGACCTGGCCTCCGCCCACCTCTCCCAGCCCACATGCTCCCTCCATGTCCTTCTCACTCACACCTTCCTTACTGCTCTTCTTACCTCTGCACCTCTATGTTGCTTTCTAAGGCGTGATGACAACAGTCAAGAGTTTTACTCATAATGGTTACAGCAAATCCATACCATTCCAGCAAGAATTTGCCTATGTCTACATCAACACAGCTCTTTAACCAAATGAGAAATAAGAATCAAAAGTTATCTACACTAAGAAAAACATATGTTCAAATCTACTTTCAATAAAGTCATTTTCTTAATGCATATGCTATAGCAGTTTGAGATATTTTCATATCCTATACTGGTGTCTGAAATGAGTATATACCACATTTAATATTACATTTAACCTCAAACTTTCAAACCCTTAATTCATCAATGAAGAAACATTAAAGCCATCTGTCATTTCACCAATTCTTTTTCCCCAGGGAAAACAATGCACTTTGCCAAACCTTATATGTTATACCCACGAATGGAAACCAACTATATCTAAACCCAATCCTTCTATAAACTGCTCCGCAGTAGATTACAAAAAAGAGTGGCTTCAAACCTCCTATGCTTCAGTTTCTTCAACTGCAAAGCAGGGTAAAGAGTACTTCCTCACCCAGCTGTTACAGCACAAGGTAACTAACGAACAGAGTCTGACTTAAGGAAGCACTCAGAATGTGTCAGCTGTTACACTCTTTCCCTCTCTGTGGCTACTTCTCTCCCACACTTCTACCCATTAACCCAAAAGAGAAGCTACTCAATTCCTCTTTCACCTGGCAGTCCTCAAAGGAGACTGGTGAGAAGTAGGCCACTAGGGCAGAAAGCATCCAGAACTACGTGGACTCCTGGCTGTGTATCTTCTGAACTCTGTATGTTTCCAGGAGGGCAGCACACTTCATACTTTCCCTTCCCACCTTGGGGAGACCCCTTGCACAGTAGGTAACATGATGTAACAAGGGCTGGAGCCCAGGCCCTGGACCCAGACCTGCTTCTAACTAGCTGTGCCGTTTTGGGCAAGCCCAGGGACCACTCTGGACCTCTGCCTGTGTGTGTGTGTAAAATAACCGGGTTGGGCTAGATGGGAAAGATCTCTCCTTGCAATAGCAACTCGGAGGCCACAGGCTGAGGCTCCTTCTGGATTAGAGATTCACTCACAGGAGTGTTCTAGATGAGAAACATGACAGAGGATGACTTTCTAAACTAGGATGCTGAGATATGAAGTGTTTTTAACACTTCACCAAATAAGATGAGAAAATTATTATCGTGGGCTAAATAATTTTAAGTGAGAAATTAACAGGTGGACCAAGCAGCAGCTGAAAAGGACAGCTGGAGCCCTGTACAGCAGAAAGGATTGGCAGAGACCTGGTAGCCCAATTTGAAGTAAGAGTACACACAGAAAAAACAGCTTTTTAAAAGTTTTTAAAAAATCCCAACCCACAACATGAAACTGCAAAATATTAGAGAGTAGAATATAGACTAAGCATGAGCTCATAGTACCCTATACCAGGGTGGCCGGCACAGGCACGTTGGAGGGAGATTTCATACCCTTGGTACTGAGTTTTGATCCATATGAAGCTACTACCTGGTCAAACTTTTAGAAAATTTAAATTAAAAAAAATATTTTTGGGGAAAAAAGTAACACCTTAGCTCAACCTAAGGTGTCGCTGGGGCTCAGCAGTGCTCAGTCAGAGGTAATTCTCTCTGCATCAGGAGCTCTAGCCCAGGCTGGGCAATGATATGGGGCAGGGTGAGGCAGAGGAGGATGACAGTGGAGAAGAGTCAGACCCTGCAATGGTGCTAGATGAATGCCTGAACTTCCTCCAACACAGAAGGCTGCTAACCTTCTCTAGGGAAGTCAGAGGTATGTAAATTGGCTTAAATGAAAGAAAGAAATTAAAGCTAGTCAAAATAAAGAGCTTACCAGGAGAGAGAACAATAGTTGAACTTGATTTGAGCAAATCCCTAACATTCCTTTTACAAAGTAAACCTCTCTTTTAAAAAGGGACCAAAAACTAGATCTAGCTTATGTGCACCACGGACAAAGAGTTAGCAATAAAAAATAAAAAAATAAAATAAAAAAAAAGAAAAAGACACCTGCTTAAATTTGCCTCATGGAAAAATGAACTGATTGGGGGTGTGGGAGAACTTTTCAGCATACTATTAACATAATCCTGCCCCACTCCAACTTTTCCTTTGATACCTGCTTGGGAAGTGGGAACCAAGAAAGCTATCTGGTGAGTACTCTTGGAAAATAACGGGCTCAGACCTTTCCTCCTGCAACCTCTTTCCTGTCTAAGTTCCTTTGCACATGCTGCTCCTTCTACTTGGCACTATTAACATAATCCTGCCCCACTCCAACTTTTCCTTTGATACCTGCTTGGGAAGTGGGAATCAAGAAAGCTATCTGGTGAGTACTCTTGGAAAATAACGGGCTCAGACCTTTCCTCCTGCAACCTCTTTCCTGCCTAAGTTCCTTTGCACATGCTGCTCCTTCTACTTGGTTTTAGAGTATGTATACGTACGATCCCATTTCTGTGAAAACTAGTAAGACTACTGCGTATAAACGTTTATGTAGGTTTACATGTATAAAAGAGACAGTTGTGGATGATTATGCACCGAACTGTTAAGACTGGACTGGTTACCTCAAGAGAGTGGAATTGGGTGGTGGAAAGCAAGCAAATACTGTAATTCCTTCTGCATACATCTCTTTTTGATGCCATATATGTGTTATTTTTACAATTAAAAAAACAGAAAAAAAGAATAAAGCAAATTTTCTGGCTTTTGGTATTTTTCAGCACACACAGCTACTGCCATGAAGTGAACAGGCCCCTACGAACCCTTGAGTTTTCTGGTGCCAGTCAGCATGGAGGAGGTTGGAGGTATGTATGACAACCCGGAGGCCTTCTTCATACAGCAGCAGCATCATCTTTCTTTAAAAACAGAAAAAGGACCCAAAAGCATTAATAGTACTTTCAAAATACGTAATACCTTTCTAACATAAACATAACAAATAACTAAAGGAATTCTTATATTCTTATAATTCTTATATTATCCAAACTTTTAACATTTATAATTATGAATGTCTGCTTATGTGAGAGGTAGAAAACAACCTTCCAAAGATGCTCCAAGGGCCAGCCCCGTGGCTCACTCGGGAGAGTGTGGCGTTGGTAGTGCCGAGGCCGCGGGTTCAGATCCTATATAGGGATGGCTGGTACGATGACTGGCTGAGCGTGAAGGTTGTGATCACCTTACCAGTCAAAAAAAACCAAACAAACAAAAAAATGCTCCGAGTATTTTTGTGGTAAATGAACTTTCACCCCATTCTGTCTCCCTGGCCAATGCCACCACTCCAAACCCCTTGGGACTGACCCCTTATTATTTATTTAGCATCATGTTATTATCATGGACAATGGGAAACTTGTGCAGTGTTTTTCAAAGTACAGTCACAGCCTCTTGCTGCATCATGGCTAGCATTTTATAAACAATCGAAGTAGAATAAATCTAAGTATACTGCATATACTTATATTAAGCATTGGTTCATGAAACTTTTCTTTCAGCACATAGATGTACATGTGCAGTAGAGTCAAATGTAAATTTCTTATTGTGAGTTACAATATTTAAAATGTCAAAGAAGGCTGGCAGGTTAGCTCAATTGGTTAGAGCGCAGCCTTATAACACCAAGGTCGCAGGTTTGTACTGGCCAGTGTCCCCCTCAACTGCTCCCCCCCGCCCCCCGCCCAAAGTAGTAAAAGGTTGAAAGATGCTTCACTCCCATTAGACTGATTTTTTCTGTACTCCATAGATGCTACACTCATCACCAGTGCATATCTAGGCTTGAGATAAACCTTCCTTCTCCATTAACTCAAGTCAGACCCAGTCAAGTCCCCTCTTTTTCCAAGGGGCTTCCCCAGGCCTCTTGTCAAATGTTTTCTCTTATTTCAGTTCCAGTCAGAAAGGGAATGGGATATAAACAAGAGCTCTCTATTTGAAGTCTGAAGACCAGAGCTCCAGTCTTTGTCATTTAGAAGCTGGATGACCCTAGGTAAACGATTCATTGTTCCTGAGCCTTGATTTTTCCTGAGCATTGATTTTCCACTTGTAACTTGAAGGATCAACTACAACTTGGGATCCTTATAAATAAATGTTGTGAATGAAATGCAAAATGCCTTCTATTGAATTGTAAAACACTCCTTTGTATACATTCCCATTACTCTTCCAGTGCCTTGCTTTATTTTGTAATCCAGTATCGGACAATTTTTGTTTCTGTATTGTTTTCTAATTATTTTAGGAATCTAAGTTTTCTCTCTGCAACTAGAATGTCACTTCTTAAGGCTGTAGCTCTGTCTTACTTTATCATTTTCATTGAGGCCGAAATGCTACTTAACACTTACTGATGAACCACTGGTTCTCCCCAAAAAACAACAGCATGAATACTCTTTGGGCAGGATGAGGTTAGCATAAAAAGATAAGGAAAAGAATACATGAACAGAAAAAAGAATGAGATATGTAGCTTTTGCCAACATGAGAAATTAAATCAAGCTGGCAAACAGTAAATTAACGCAAAGCTGGAGAAATGACAGCTGTTGAGCCATCTTCTTTCCATTTATGAAATGTGCTCCCTGAAATCTGGGCAAATTTACATACACACTTGCCAAATTAGCAGCTGATTGTAATTAAGAATAAGTCAGTTATGGATTCATGATATAAGTTTTACAAATATTGCCATTAATCAAGGCATCAATTATCAGGAAATGTCAGTGAATCCTACCAAATAAAATTATGAGTCAATTTAAAGGGAGCCATACTAATGTTTCCACAGACAAGACGGTATGTCTTAATAAGGTCACAGCTAAAAATGGATAGACAAGGGCGAGGAATGAGGTCTCCCCTGAAGAATGCTGACCTGCCATATCATCTGCTAAGCTGTGGGGGCAGCAAAAGGGACACTGTGCTTGGGTAGGAGTGGGCGAGGTGGAGGCGATATGGTCTTGGTGAGAAAGGACTAAATGGAGGACGGTGGGAGGTCCAGCCACAGATGAAGTGGAGAGAGGCACGCCCCACCCACCCTGCAGTTTGCTACCTGATCCAGCTTGGGTCGTGACATTCGGTGTTCAGCTGCTTTGGTTTTCTCCCTTTCTCCTCTATCGATTCTTAGGACTAAAGATAACTTTGCTTCCAGCTCTGGGGGAAAGCAAAGACCTTTGCCATTATAAACATTATGAGATAGACTGCAGGATTACATGGCATCCTGCAGAAACGGGATAGAGCAGGTTTACCATACCCAACAAGGCTATGCACTTCTTGAGGATGAGGCTGCATCGTGGTTATTTCTATAAGCCTTGCACACAGTACCTGCTGAATACATGCTTGCTAAAGTGTACGCCATCTCAAAGACTGCCTCATATTTACTGTTGTTAGCTCTACCTTGTCAGGCTGGGAAGACAGTTTACATCCCATCACCATGAGATGGGAGCTTTTTCTCCATTTCTAATGCACATTTATCTTGCTTCTCTCACCAAAAGACAAAAAGCTGCGATAACAAAACTCTATATCCTGCAGAGCTGTGTCTAAGAATGTAATAGGTATTTAATGAATAACACTTAAAACATTTTAAGATAAGCAACCAAAAATAACTGAGACATGAGCTTAATCTTCTACAAGATACTGGCATTTCAACAAAATGTAAACTATGGGGCCAGCCCGGTGGCGCACTCGGTAGAGTGCGGTGCTTGGGAGCGCCGAGGGTTCGGATCCCATATAGAGACCGGTCTGCTCACTGGTTGAGCGTGGTGCGGGCGCGACACCAAGGGTTGCGATCCTGTTGCCAGTCGCGGTACGGGTGCGACACCGAGGGTTGCGATCCCATTACCGGTCATGAAAAAAAACAAAAAGGAAAAAAAAAATGTAAACTATGGATACTGTGTAGTTGGGAAAGGTTCTATCATAGTTACTTCCCTAGGCATTTTAAACCCTAAACTAAGAACTCTATTGGGTTTAACCTGCCAAGTGTATGTGTGTGGGGTGAATGGACCAAAGCAGACAATGAGGTCAATTTCAGCAGTGAGCAAAGAAGAAATTAAAAACTAAAGTTAAAATAAATGAGTTCTATTCCTGCCTCCACCAATGGCCCAAGGAAAATCCTTACCTACTCTGGGCCTCAGTTTCTTGATCTATAAAATTAAAAGGAAGGACCAAATAATTTTTTGAAGAGCGTTAAACAAAGGATAGTCGCCCACCCCCACCATACGGGCTCAGCTGATCATCACTGTGCTAGACCCTGGGCAGGCCCACCATACTCACTGTCTCCCAGGAGTCACTGGGAGAAAGAGGAACACAATGCCATCATTACAGGTCACCATGATATCAGGAGAAGAGCAGTCACAGAGACTCAGGACAAACACTCCCTCCTAGGAGACTCCTTTTTGCCCTGAAGGAACATGCCTGAAGCAGCAAGCTACCCATTCCACTACTGGTCTAGAGGAGAGACGAGGCTTTACCACATCCTTTTCACAAATCCTTTCTAGAGAAATGTGACTTGTAAAAACATCAAAATAGGGACCACCATGTCTTTCTCATTTATAGAGTCAATTATGTAAAAGGGCTCAGTAAGAGTGGTAAAAGTAAAATGGGAGTCAAATTGATAATCAGGAGCAATGTGTCAAGTAGAACGTAACAAAAGTTTTTCCTGTGCTGCACATCTCAGAAAATTATTCTAAAAGAGCTGTCTTGAGCAGGAACAGGCATCGGCCTGTCAAGCTGATAACTTTTGGTAAAATAGTTTTTCTTGGGAGGGTGTGGTGCTGATAAAAATAGCTTTTCTTTCCATCGTAGTATGGAGCAGACCTAACAATATTCTGTTCAACATGACTCAGAGTCTTATAAAAATCACAGAACTTTTTAGGTTTTAATCCACAGGCACATGACTTGCACACATACAATCATCAATAACCACAAGGACACAAAACGTAATCTATTCCTCCCAAGCCAAGTATACCAAAAGTCCTCAACAGAAGTTAGAAACTTTGGAGTCAGCCACAATCTCAGTACTTTGTCTTAAAGCTGTTAGAAAACAATTCCACCTAATCTACTATTAATAGTACCCCCCCCCCCCAGCAAAACCATCACACATCACCCCCTGTAAGGGCACATTTTGCAACAGTATCCTTTGATCTATTAAAATCGTATTCTCCCTCATTTGATAAAAATTACTTACGTGTGGTGTGTTCCAAATGCAATATCCAACTTTGCCTAGGATGAAACAGAAGTCACTTATTTTAAAAAAAAACTTCAATTAATAATATCCCTATGTACTGGAAATTAAGTTAGAAAAGAATCAGGCCAACTTTTTCTTTTTAAACTGTTTTTACTGCTCTATCGGATAAGTCTTTGAAGAACCAGACAGCTTTTATAACAGCATCCAGTAAGGCTCATATTAAAAACATCTCCTTTTGTTACCCAGAATGATTCAACACATACTGTACTTTTAATTACAGTAATTAGGACTGAGAAACCTAATTTCTTTAGTTGTCAAAAAGACTAATAAAACATGAGATTCCATGCAAAGTTTTAAAACTAGATATTTGGCTTGTATAGAAATTAATATGCATGAAATTTTCACAGCATATTTAAAAGAAACATTGAATGTGGTGGCAATATCAAGATTTATATCATGATGTTAAATTAAAATTTAAAAATTTCTCATATTGAAAACATAGCAAGTGATGAAAATAAAAATATACTAAATCATTTTTGTGTTATGAAATGATACCTTTGCAAACAATAGAGGGTATATGGAGAAGTAAAACATTTTATTTAACATCCACTACAGCAAGACCTTGTAAAACAGAATATGCCACAAGATGTAGTTTGTGAAATTTAAAATAAACAACCATCTGAATAGCTTAGCAACTAAGAATGCAGTACATGGGCTCAAATCCTGCCTTCACAGCTTTGTATGACTTTGGAAAATATTTATATCTCTAAGCTTCAGCTTTCACCTCTTTAAAACAGGGTACTGTTACAAGATTCAGTTATTATGAGTAAAGGAGAAAATACATGTAAAATGCTTAGGAAAGGAGGCCTGCATGTAGTAAGCATTCCATGAAAGGTGGCAATCACTACTATAACCTCTCCCCTTACCCCACCTCCTTACCACATGATAGGTGGGTGGAATTGTTTGCTGGTGGCAGTAATGAGCAATTAGAATACATGGGTGGGTACAAACATTGCCTGTGTGGGGATGCTCACTGACTGGTATCCCAGTTGACTATACTCTTACAGTGTGTGGGGATGCTCACAGAACAGCATGAATCTGTGTGCTCTGGCCACAGGAGAGCAGAAAATTGTCTTTCATGTTTTTAAAATTATAAAGGTAGGAGACTGCCACTTTGTAAATCGATTTTTAGCTGAGAAAGAACAATTGTCAAGAGACCTGGTTTTGAGTTTAGTTTTGCCACAAGGTGTTTGCTTTTGGACAAGTCTAAGCACAAACAACAAAGATGATAATAACATCAACAGATAATATTGAATGGGTGCTTTTTTTGGCCTAATGCACCAAATCCTTTAAACCCCACATTGAACAGCATTAGCAATCCCTTTTAAAGATGAAGAAATTGGGCTTAAACAATTAGACTGCAGTGACAAGCCCAGAATGACAAAGTGTTATGGATGGACCCCCTCCACAATTCTTATATAAAAGCCCCAATGCCCTATGTGACTGTATCTGGAGGGAGGGACTTTATGGAGGTAATTAAGGTTAAATGAGGTCATAAAGATGAGGCCCTAATTTAACTGGGCTGGTATCCTTATAAGAGGAGACACCAGAGAGCTCGCATGTGCCTCCCTCCCTCTGCCATGTGAGGATGCTGTGAGAAGGTGCTATCTACAAGCCAGGAAGAGAGCCATCACCAGGTACCAAATTGACTGGTATCATAACTTAGACTTCCCATGTGCCTCCCTCCCTCTGCCATGTGAGGATGCTGTGAGAAGGTGCTATCTACAAGCCAGGGAGAGAGCCATCACCAGGTACCAAATTGACTGGTACCATAACTTAGACTTCTCAGCTTCCAGAACTGTGAGAAATAAATGTGTTGTTTAAGCCACCCAGTCCAAGAGCAAGCCAGGAATTCTGTTATAGCAGCCTGAGCAGACTAATTCACACAGGTAAAGATTTGGGAAAGAACCCAGGCAGTGTGGCCCTTGACCACCATAAGGCCTCAATCTCTGGCCTTAGGCCCCCATTTGAAAAATGGGAGAAGTGTCAGCATCTGCTGATTCTTTGACTAAGGTGCCTCAGCTTAAAAGACACAATGTTGCTAGAAAAACTCAAGAATTCATTTTACAGACAAGATATAAAGGCATTTTGATAGGTCAGGATGGGGCCACATCCTCAGATTAGAGTTGGGAGCTTCTCAGTTTTTCACAAAAGGTTTGGAAGAAGCTTCTCATTCTGCCCTCTAGTGGCTGGCCTGGAGCACTCGATCAGGTGCAGGACCCTCTCTCCGGAACTTTGATTACAGGTAGTTAGTATTTGAAAAACACTTCCTCTTTCCATTTATTTAACCACCGGTTGTCAGGATTCCTACGTCAGTTTATTTTCTGCCCACTATTACTCTGATGGGAGCTATCCTACTGCAGTTCATCCTCTTCTGTTGCTAGAAACAGAAGCGCAACAGAAGCAAAACAGTGAAATTTTAGGCAACTGCTAAGCAAAGGGATATCTATGTACATAAGACATGCCACGAACATGTTGCGTGGAAGGAGGTATGTTTTAAAATCATAACTGTATAAGTGCAGTGGGTTAAACCACAGGAAAAATTTTGAAATACGTTTTAAAAAAATCATTTATCATTTATAGTTAGAAGAAGAGTGATAAAACGTGAGTTGAAATTCGTACATCTTGTGGAGATGGTGGGAAAAGACACTAGAAGGAAAATGGCAAAGAAAAGGAATCCAGGTACTATGTCTCTGTATTCCAAGAGTAGAAATCTTGAGCCAGTTTCAGTAAGTAATGACAAGGAGAAAAAAGGGCTGTAAAAGTAACTTTCATCATATTTTTTTCATGAATGAATGGATATCCTGCTAAAACAAACAAGAAAAGGTGAATGTACCACCAGCTATTTCATAACCACAATTTCTACGGGAAGGAAATCATAAATTTAAGAAATTCTTCTGAATTCCTTGTTTTTCTTCCCACTTTGCCTGTTTCTTGCTCAAAATGCCACATATAAATGAAAGATCTTTTCAGAAGTGGAGTATAAAGCAATGGTTAATAATGGAAGTCCAAGACTCATTGGTTACATTGTATGCTGATTGCAAAGAAGAAGAAAATGATGGGAACATTTAAAGAAACTGGGCAATAGCCTTTGTATTGACTTTCTTTTCCTCTTTGCTTCGGTCCCAGCAATACAAGTGGATATACCAGTTATGAGAGCACTCAATGCTCCTTCACTGGGCTTGGGTCATATACAACATATGACTCAAATAATTTCTTAAAAGGTTCTTAATCTGTGGGTCTCTCCAGCATAGATTCTGGAAGCACTTAAAGTGAAAAAGAACTAAGGATGAACGTTAACATATCAATATCAGCTAATGTAAGTTAGATAAGGTGTCACCAAAAAAAGTAACAGTTTTAACCTGCACTCACGGGACACAGAAAGAAATCCACAGCCACTGAACTGTTCGGTGCTGGAACTCAGGTTTCAAAAGGCACACAAACAAATTAGATGCCACCAGAAAGGTACTAGCAGGTTGGGGAAAGACACAGTCTCCTCGTTACACTGAGTAACCATTGAAGAAAGTGAATGCTTGAACCTGAGAGAGAGAGAACTAAGGGAGATAGGACAGATCACTCAGAATATATGAATCACTGACCTGTGCAACAGGGAGATTTATTCTGTGTGGTTCTAAAGGGGGAAAATTAGGAAGTTATGAGGAACTTGTATGGAGGTTACAAGGAGGGAGACTTCAGGTCAACACAAAGAAAAATCTTTCCAACCATGAGGGGTACCCACAAATAGAATGGGCTATTTCAGGAAGTGTTTAAGCCAAGGCTAGACAAATATCTGTTGGTGATGCTAGAAATAGAACTTCTGCATAAGGTGGGAGGGTGGACTAAATGTCTAAATTTCCTTCCAACTCTTAGAATAAGCGTGATCACAAGTGGCAATAAGTAGTTTACCTGGCAGAGGGAAATGTTTTCATAAGGCTTTGCCTCCGCGTGTAAGTGAGCCTTAGCTTCTCGTTTATCGCCATGCACAAGTAGGATTGGTTTCTTCCTGAAAAAAGATCAGAAGTATTTCAAATATATCATTCATGAAGCTGGACTCTTGCCTAGTTACGGAATGCTAGCTTCCTTACCACCGCCACTTGCTTCTGGCCTTTGTGGTGACTGAGTATGGGGCTTAACATGAAGCAGGAATCAGGTAATATTTGTTCACCGGTTACCTTTATAGTGGAGCCACATGGCCTGATCCTGAAGCTCTGCTGAGACACAGAGAGGTTTGACTCATGAAAATCCTTGAATAATTATCTTATCCAAAAGGGCACACAGGTAGCTCTGTGTCAATATATTTAAGTTCAAACAGATTAAAGATATACGATTATCATACAGTACGATTTTTTTTCTTTCCCTTCTTTTGGTCCAAGCGGTGGATTCATTTTACACTGCTCCTATATTCACTAAGCCCCTAACGTGCTATATGCTGAGCTAGACTCAGGATCCAATAGCAAACAGACCTAGACCCATCACACAATGCAGACTGGTTAATAGATGGTTAGATTTCAATGAAACAGAGCCTAAGGTACATTGAAAATGCTGTGTTTTTGAATTACAAAAACATAAAAACACTCTTAAGGAATATATTAAAAAGGCTTTTTAAGGGATCCTTGATCTTCTCCAGTTAATTCAAAGTGAGACAATTCTTAAAAAAATCAATATATCCTTATAAGGTTTCCCAACACAACAGAAATTAGATTTTTCTCCAACGAGCAATAGAGCAAGATAAACAACTGTAGCTACTTCCCCATTTATCAATCACACTGCAGGATGATTCTCTACCATACATGAAGGGACAACGCTCAACCAGAAAGAAACATCATAGAAAATGCACTTCTTGTACTAATGCCTAACTACCTCATGCCCAACACCTTTATTCTAATGTGACAGGTAAAAAAAAAAAAAACAAAAAACAAAAACACAACAACCATGAAACATACATTCCTAATTTTTTTTTTCCTATTTGGAAAAAAATTTTACAACTAGAAAAACAGTATAGAGAATAATGTAAGAAACATTTATGCATTCATCACCTGGAAACAAGAAATATTATCAAATTAGGTCATCTTGAAAAATAAAAGATTAAACATTACTGATAAGTTGATGTCCTCATTAATTCCTTCAAATTTATTGATTCTATGAATTATTACAAAAAGGCAGCATCTGAACCTAGAAAATGAGGTATAACCCTTATAATCTGAATTTTTCTATGTACAAATTCTGGATGTTACCTAAACTTGCCATTTAGGTCATTCTTTATCCTTACGATGCTCTTGACAACTTTTCCAAGATGCATTCAGCAATAAAAGGATGGAGGGAAAGGGAGGACAACTCTTCTGTCCCTTGACTTCAGTTACTCAGAATCCAAAGGATGACACTGTATTAGTTTGCTAGGGCTGTTGTAAATCAGCCACACCACAAACTGGATAGCTTAAAAAACAGAAATTTGTCGTCTCTCAGTTCTGGAGGCCAGACATCCAAGACCAAAGGTGTTGGCAGTACTGGTTCCTTTTGCGTATTGTGAGGGAGAATCTATTCTATGTCTTTCTCTTAGCTTCTGAGGTGTTCCTTAGTTTGTAGATGGCATTCTCCTGGTATTTTCACATAGTCTTCTCCCTGTGTCCAAATTTCCCTTTTGTAATACTGCCCACCCTAACTAGATGGCATTCTCCCTGTGTCTTCACATAGTCTTTTGTGTCCAAATTTCCCCTTTTTGTAATACTGCCTACCGTAATGACCTCCTTTTAACTTGATTACCTTTGTAAAGCCCCTATCGCCAAATCAGATCACATTCTGAGGTACTGCGGCTTAGGACTCTAACAGATCTTTTCTTGGGTGAGACATTTCAACCTATAACAGATTCAACCCATAAGACAGGCACTGTAGTCTATGCTTTGCACTTTAAAGGGGTGACAATTTGATTTCAAGGTCTTGGAGAAACAAAGAAAGGAAGAATACACAGCAACAATGCAACACGCAGGGACACTTACTACCAGGAGAAGCCTGCAGCAGAGACTGCTCGTTACCTACAGATATCCATTCTCCCTTTCTTTCCTATCAAAACCCTGATTTTATTCAGGATGAGGTGTGCTCAGCTAAAGGACTACATTTCCAGCCTCTTTTAAAGCTGGCTATCCTCATGCACCTGAGCTCTGCTCAACTGAAATAGAAGCAGGTGTTGTGTGAGACTTCCAGAAAAGCTGCTCAGAGACGCACAGCTAGGACATGGGCTCTGTCATCCTTCTCCCCATTTCTCTTCCTGCCACCTGGAACACAGATGAGTGAGCTGGAGCTTTAGCTGCCATCCTGGACCACAAGGTCATTCTGAAGACTCACATCATACAACAAAATGGTGGAAAAGAAAGAGTAGTTACGTCCCTGAGAACCACGGTGTCCCCAATCCAGACCATAAATGTCTAACATCTGGACTTCTTAGGATGGAAAAATTAATTTCTGTCTTGTTTAAGCCACTGTTATTTTGTGTTTTCTGTTACATGCAGCTGAAACTAATCGTATGTGCTACGGTCACATACAAGCCCCTAAATGCTGAAGCTGCTTGGGAAATTTCAACAGATAAATTTTCAATTTTATCTACTGTTAATGACAAAGGTTTCCACCATCTGATGTCCTAAATGCACCAAGGATTTTGAGGACCCTGACAATCATTTTTTTCCTTGTGTATTTCTCCATCCTACTTGCTGTTATAAGATTCTGCCACATAAATGTGTTAGAGACAGGGATCAGGTGGCACGTCATTATGTGATATGATGCTACACTTGATTTGTATTGCCTAACCCAAGGCTGATAAACTGCAGAAGACAGAACTGAAAGTCCATCACCCCCACAGCCTGAATCAGGGAAGGTACTACGTATGACCCCCTTTCTTAACTCCTCATCTGCAGGAAGAATCACTTGAGAAACAAAAAGAGACCCTCAAAAAAGAATAGCACTGATGTGTGAAGTGAAGCATGGCTTGCTGACTACGTGTTGGCAGCTTATAGGTCTAGAAAGCATGTGGAGATGATCTTTTCCTTCATATTAATATGGATATAAAGTTCTGTTATTTGAGTTGGAATTTGTTCTTACGTACCTCTGGACAGAGCATAGAGAAAAGTGCTAAAACCTGTAAAGAGAATGTGGATGATTAAATAGATCAAAAATGCTGTTTTCTCAATATAACAATGTCTGTGTGATTTTAATGGGTTCAAAAGAAACATTCAAAAAAGATGGTGGCTTTTGCCTGAGAAACACAAATCTCGCGTTTCAAAGCCCCATTACAGTTTATGGTGTCATCTTTCATCCTGTGGAACTCACCTGAACTCTGGTGGATACTGTTTTATGAGCCAGTCCACGTCAAAGCAGTAGTTAAACTAGACGGGAGAAAAGAAAAGTAACTAAGCCACTGGTAATTCTGCCAAGCAGTTTATAAGGAGAACAGTTTAGTTACTAAATGGAAAGAAACTCTAAAATAATGATATACTACACATATTATTTGTAAACCTGGACAGTTATGCTGCAATACTCGTGAATATACTTAAAATTTTTCTTGAAGAGAATACATGGTTAAAGGAACCTGAATAAATGGAACCAAATGCACAAGAAAATGGGTTCTAAGGAAATTGTCTCCTTATGATTTGGCAGCATTTGTGCTTGTCAATAGGGTGTTACTACCTTATTTCTAACAGCCCTGAGATTAATTTAAATAAAGGAGCTTATCAATTTATCCCTGTCCCCTAGGTGATTATAAGCACAGGTACATGAGATAGAGATCCCAGGACTTTTAGGAAAAAACATTTCCTTTTGCCCGAACTTATTTGCCAGCTTTGTACACAGGCATCTGGGACTGGACATTATAGCTATTATATCTTGACCACAAGTTCTGTACTGGACTTAGCCAAGGGGGCTCCTCCCCACACCTGCATAATCCTAGGCATAGTAACTCAATCTAGCCAAGAGAGCGTACGCGAGTGCACCCCACCTCCCTCTGGAGACCAGGACTTTCTAGCCAAGCCATGAAGGGCACAGAAAGCTTTGCTTCTTCAGGGACATGGCCCTTTTTACTATTTACCTAAGAATATGGAGCATTAATGTGATTTATCACTACAAAGGGACCAGCTTGGTCATCAAACATGCAGAAGTACCCATAAATTCTACTTGCTCCTTTCTGGTAGGTACACGGAATTTCATATTTTAGAAATATTTCATAGATAATAGAAACTTGACTCGGCCTTCACCGCTCTACCCACACTTCCCCAGGGGGTTGCACCAGAGTCCCAAGAGATTATCAGTGTCCCACAAAGAAGTCCTTTAGATTGGAAAGTCCAAAGTGACTTTCTGGTCGCCTGAGTCAGATGCTCTGTGAATGGTGACATCCACATTTGATGGCCATGGATCCCACAACTGCGGCAACTGGTGCCAGCCTCCAAGATATAAGCCATCTCAGGGACCCTGAACAGGACTGAGACACAGGTCTCCACCTGTCAGATTTTCTTAGGGAATTGTTTGTCTCCTTTAGCCTGAAGGAAAAAAAAAAACAATTTAACCATAAAACTCACCTGAGCTGAAGAAACAAGTGTCCCAAATAGAGGAGATAAAATATCTGAGAAGACAAAACATATAAATCCAATTCACACTCAGATTAAAAAAAGTCCTCTAGTCATATCATCACAACTAACTTAAGTCACTGACAACCAGGATTTAGCTCAGAAAACAGTAAACTGCAAAGTTACTACAAAGCTAGACTCTAAATTAATTTCATAAAATTCAAGAAAAAATTTCCCTATGCTATTTAATGATATTTATTATATATTCTTCTGCAAAACAAAAATCTACAACTTCAGTACTCTGACTAGTCAATTTTAGAAACCGTCAATGCAGATAATAATGACACGTGTTCCTTTCAGATCTCTGAATTGTTACCTCCTTCAAGTACTCATTCTAGGCCCTCTCCAGGAAACCTCCCAACCCAGGACTAGCAAGACGACTCCCCTCTGGGGCCTGAGAGCACCTGCTTCCTAGGAACAAAAGAGCAGAGGTACCCACAATTCTAAACTCCCATTCCTGGTGTTCCTGGTCATCTCTAAGGAGGTCCTACTTCGCGTCCACTTGAGCTTTACTTTAGATAGGTTGGAGGGCTCACTTGTCATAACTACACCATGAGAAGAAGCATATGATCATCAGGAGCTTCGACTATCACAGCCATACCTGTACAGGACCTATTAGGTGCCAGGCACCGCTCTCAGCACTTCCCATGTATTAACTCTTATTCCTCACAGCCTTTCTCTGAGGAAGGTTTGTAATTCCTGTTTTGTAGATGAGCAGAGTCTCCCTAGGAAGCTGCATGTGGCTACACAGCCAGAAAGGAGCAGGGTCGGGCTCTGAACCCAGGATGATTGGCTCCAGCACCGCTGTTGCTACCCGCTAAACTGCCTGTGAGGGTTAGAGTGAGCTTATTCATTTATGACAGATATTTACTGAGTGCCTGTCTTCCAGACAGTGAATTAGATGCTGGGGTACCAAGATCTTAAAAGAACAAAAAAATACTCTTAAGTAAGTTCTTACCTTATTGGGAGAGTTGCACAATTAAGAGATAAACTGCAATATGAGTACATTCTTCCATTTTGTCCTCATTAGCATCTACTTTCCTAGATTTTACCCATCTTTCAAGGGGATGGATTCTGGTGCCAGAATGCCTGGATTCAAATCCCAGCTCTACCATTTACCTTTGGCAGGTTATTTAACTTTTCTAAACTGTGGGTCTGTAACCTATTCAGGGAGGAGAACTATAACTTCTACTCATAAGGCTGTTGAGAGAATTAAAGGAAAAAATATATGTAAGAGCTCCTACAATAATGTTACCTCCCCTTCCTCAATATCTTGGGGCTAGCAGCCAGTCTTCATCATTTTATTATAATCAGCAAAACTTTGCATAGTTTTCTATTTCCTGTGTCAATCTCTCTCAAACAAAATAAAAACACAACTATCTTATATTTCTTCAAAGTACTTAGATAAGAGATTCTCAGAAAACCCACAGGATTGAACTCTCTATAGCATGGAATTAAATGCACCAACATTTATACATCACACACACACAAGAAATAGCTATATTTTTGATACGTAAAATGACAGTGAACATAACATATTTTTGAATATGGGCCAGAAAAAAAGTTAATCTGAAATAAGAGTAACAATGTTTGTTTGTATCTGCCATGTGAATATATTGTGCTGGTCACTTCATGTATTTGCTCCCATTTTTCTGAATCTCCAGTTTAAAGATGAGTAAACTGAAATTCAGAGAATGATCTTGTGTTAACAATTCATACAGCAAATGAGAGGTGAGGATGGGAATCAGATTCTAGAGCTGCTGTTCTCCCTGGAGAATAAGGAGAGAAACCAAAGTCCATCTTTTGATTCCTAACTGAAACATCTACGAGTGTACTTCAAAAAGTTTGTGGAAAAAGAGAATTAAAAGATAGTATGAATCTTTCCACGAACTTTATGCAGTGCCTTCACACTTGCCCTCCAGCTCTTTTTTTTTTTTGCTTCTTCACCAGGAACCAAAACTAGGCTTTCATACGCTGGTTCTCAAACTTGATTGGGCATTAGAATCCCATGAAGGGCTCTTTGAAACACAGATTGCAGAGTATGATCCAGTGAAACTGGGGTGGAGCCTGAGAATTTGCATTTTTAACAAGTTCCACACATGCTGATGCTGCTGGCCATAGGACCACGGAGAACTACTGCTGTCAAGTATTTGCTACTTTGTTAATAAAGTGTTACTGATCAAGTTTAACCTTTAACTTAAAAATTAAATAATTCTAAACACTGTGCTAATTTGACAAGGGGTTGAGCTGAAGGGTTTTTTTTTTTTCCTTTTTGTCTTTTTTACTGACCGGTAACGGGATCGCAACCCTTGGTGTCACGCCCGCACCGGGGACCGGCAACGGGATCGCAACCCTTGGCGTTGCGCCCGCACCACGCCCAGCCAGTGAGCGGGAACCGGTCTCCACATGGGATCCGAACCCTCAGCAGGAGCGCCGCCACGCTCCAAGCAGCGCACTCTCCAGTGCGCCACCAGGCCGGCCCAAGCTGAAGGGTTTTGAGAAACACCCTCTGATTGCCTGGCCAATGCAAACTTTGCTGTCAAACTAGTGCACTTATTTGTCAAAAAGAATTTTTTTCTCTCAGAGTAGTTAAGACCACAAAGAAGGGTTCTTGGAGATTATTCTGGGCTGCCTTCCTTTTTTTTTTTTTTTTTAACCAAGGCGGACACTCAAGTGCCATTCCCCAGCTCCTTGACACCCAGCACCCTCTTACCCTTGATGTGAAGGGCTCCAGAGTTATACTTCAGCTTAATTCCTGAGACTCTAGTGAGGTAAAATTGGAAGGGGTTCCCTTTATTCAACATGTCCCAAATGTCCTGGCCTTCTCCTGATGTCTCGTACTCGTCTTCCTCCTCCACTTTGAGCCTGTGGCTGGCAGGAGGGTCAGGATTTCCAGCTCTTTGGGCAGAACAGTCTCCGAAAGAGGAGATGTCTTTCTCCTCCTTGACCACCGCTTTCTCAGTCCTCTTTTGCTGCATTTCTGGTTGCAGCTCATCATCACTGCTGGAGAGACACCAACCCAGGTCATCCTGGGAACCACCTTTCTGCTTTTTGGGAGATGAGACTGAATCTGTATTGCTGAACTGCACAGGTGAGATTTTCCTTCTGTATGCGGCTTTTCGGGCCTCGGAACAGGTATACCTGGGCTCACTAGCTGCTCCTTGCCCAGCATGGATGACAGAAGAGGTAGATGGCTTGTCCAGTTTTAGCTTTTCATCCTCACTTTCATCACTACTGGATATCGTCCACCTCCCATAATTGCCTTCCTGAGACATTATATCTCTGGAATGAAAGATGGAAATATTATTAGTTTCCATTCACCAGGCCATTGGCAAAATAACTTTATTGCTCTCAAATTCCCTGTCAGATGAGCCTCTGCAACACATAACAGCACTTTTGACACTTTTCAAAGGCTGAGCCAAATAACTAACATCGGTTGCTTTGTACTTGTTCATAGGCATATTACCAAAATTGCTATGAGAATTTGACAAATTAACAACAAAAATTCTGGTCACCTTCTCCTCCCCTTCTTTTGTTTTCCAGTCTAGAAAGACGCCCTAGAAAGGGGGTTGAAGCCAAACTCCAAAACAAAACTGTTCATTCTTGACCCTGAAGCTTCCAGTAGGTGGTTGGGGTTAAGACCAATTTTAAGGCATGTCAAGAGTAATTCTGACTATGCTCTAATTTTTAAGGTCAAATTGAAATTTACAAATCCACCCTTAACCCAAGCACAGGCACCTTCAGGACTTCAGTGATTATGTATGTCTTACTTCCCCAAAGATAAGCCACTTATAAAGTCTTCAAGACTAGTGCCAAATGACCACTTTTTTTTTTTTTTTTTTTTTTGTCTTTTTGTCTTTTTCCGTGTCCGGCAACGGATCGCAACCCTCAGTGTTGACCCCGTACCGGACCGGGGAACGGCAACGGGATCGCAACCCTTGGCATTGCTCCCGCGCCTCGCTCAGCCAGTGAGCGGGAACCGGTCTGTATGTGGGATCCGAACCCTAGGGCGGGAGCGCCACCGCACTTCCCAAGCAGCACACTATCCAGTGCGCCACCGGGCTGGCCCAAATGACCACTTATGTACATTAAAAGTACTTTCATGAAGACATGCAGAGAAAGAACTTGTACTGAAGCAAAAACACTTCTGTTTTCTAAACCACACATTTAGTCTAATTTCCACTTTCTTTCTCTCAGAAGAGGAAAATATACGAAACAGGCACTTTCGGTTTTACCTACAAAATGTTAATGCAGATAGCTAAATAAAAGTTCTTTAATAAGATACTTTTAACATTTTAGTACAAGACCCAGAGGAAAATTACAAAACTCAAGAGTCTGCTCAGATTGATAGAGTATCTTTACATTTTTGCTTTTTTACAGTGAACAGGATGCATTATGAGTAGGGTAAACCAAGACAAAGGCACTTTGTTCACCAGAACTACATTCTGTTTTAAAAAACTAAAAAAGCTTGATTCTATGTCAAAGGATTTACACATGAATACACATGCATATGTTTCAAGCTTAAAAACTATTTTTAAGGTATCTTTCACTTTTCACAATTTCTCATTTACCTGACTTTTTCAATTAATTACCAGTCAAGCGGACAAGGTTTCCTCTGTAAATTACCCATTTCAAGGAGGTTTTACGCACAGTGCACGGAGACGATAATTCTTCATGGCTCAGGGTCACTATTACCACTACCTGGCATTGACACTGTTTTACAGCCAAAGCCCTAAGGACTACAGAGATGGATGGGGCCACTTGCTCCTGTAATAGTGACCCTAGACTTTGTCTAGGTCTTTTGAGCATTTGTATCTGCTTTCTAAAGGTTTTCTGTTAATTTTTACTCTGTCTAGTCCACTTCATTAGAAGTCCTAGTGTAGGTAACAAAGCTTGTTAGAATTGTATTGTCACAGTTAAGAGAGCCTGAGTGCCTGGTTTTTCTCCATGAGATTCAGACTCTTTACTACTTAACAACCACTTAAGCACCTCAGGTCTGTTTTTTTTTTTTTTTTTTTTAAACTTAGGTTTACTCCAGTGTTCTAGACTCTAGAGGTTGCTGGACAGAGGTATTTAAGCTGTCACGATTCATTCTGAAGGAACTATTTTAATGGCTACAATGTTATGACTTCAAGAAATCATTTAAGAACAAAAGAACCACCTCAGGAAAAACTACTGTACTCTGAATGTTAGCTCTAGTTTCCTTTGAATTCTAAAACAGCTCTAACTCAACGCACTTAGTAACAGAATCTTCAATTAAGAGCTCTCAGGCTGTTCTCTTTAGATTTCTTATTGTAAAACAAATAGTGGGTCTCAGTTTTTAGTGAGAAAGGAGTCAGCTTACAGTCAGACAAGAAGCCATCTGCACAATCTTAGGTTATCATCTCTTCCCCAGGTGCATAATGAATACTGTAGCCTGTATTACATATAAACAACATGGAATTCCAAAACTTAGAACTCTATATGGAAGATCTTTTGAGCTATTTAGAGAATTTCTAAGGTTTTCACTTTTATCATTATCCACATTTTCTAGAACCACATGGGAGTGGGATTCCCTCTAGCAAACTATGAGTGGATAAAAAAAGCTTTGAAAAACAAGGCCTTTTTTTGATCCTGCTCTACACATTGTTTAGGTTTTGGACCCGCTGTTATTTAAATGTACGCCTGAGAGTTGTTTACCAATTAAAGGCAAATAAATCTTGGCAATATGCTAATAAAATAGTGTCCGTCATTAATTCCAGCAGGTTACCAACCTCTTTATGAAATCAAGGCACTTAGCCTGTTGTAGAGGAGCTGTTGGGCAGACACCAAGATCAATCAGGAACTGACTTTTAGTTTGGAGAACTATATCTGGTCACCAGTATGAAAATTTTACTTCTTTCTCATATAGGGGCAGGTTCCCAGTATTCCAGAGCACTTTTGTAATTAAGCATTTTACACATACAGAATTCAAGAGCTTCCTTCAACTGTCTATCGTCTGTCTTCCGTGGGCTGCGCCTGGTACAGCACAAGTCTAACGTCAGTTTTTTAAATGGTGCTGAAAGAATTAGAGAACTACAATACATGTGGACCGATTCTGAGGCCAGGCATTCAATCAGGACAGCAAAATGGAGGTGACTGGAACCTGACATTAATTAAGATCGCATTATGAAAGTATCACCTTTTCCTATTCCAATCCAATCTCCCTGTTTAAATCAAGGAGAAAGTTGTAGAGTTGTAGAAACGCTTTTAATCTTGCTTTTGAACAAACAGCAAGCTTTGGGCTTTTCTGCAAACACCAGTAACACTTTTGTTTACCATCAAAGGAAGGTATCTTATGGCTCCATTATATTTACAACAGCAAAATGAAGTTTACTTTTAAAAGACAGTGTTTATGTAAAAGAGTGGATTCAAATAAAAATATTAATAGTATATGTATTAGAAGAATAAAACAAAACCAGGGAGGCAGGTGAGTGAAATTTAGCAAACAGTGCCCTAAGAGGATGAAAATCTAAAGAAATTCTCCCACCAAATGCCAGCTCAGAATCTTGTTAGAGCTTTTATTAAGGACTTTAAAAAATGCTGTGGATGCAAAAGTATACTCCTTTTAAAGTAGTGCTTCCTTGGCCCAGCCCATGGCTCACCTCGGAGAGTGTGGTGCTGATAACACCAAGGCCACGGGTTCAGATCCCCATATAGGGATGGCTGGTTAGCTCAACTGGGAGAGCGTGGTGCTGACAACACCAAGTCAAGGGTTAAGATCCCCTAACCGGTCGTCTTTAAAAAAACAAAAAACAAAAAAAAGTAGTGCTTCTTTTACCTCCACCATTCCAGACCCAGCTGGGCATTTCTTTCACACCTCTGGCTGCTCCTTCTCAGAGCCTGAAAACCATCAGGTGAGCCTAGGAGCTGTGCTCCTCAATTCAGGCCCTGTGTGGCCAGTAGTCGGCAAACACGAGCTCCAATTTCAAACCCAGTCATTATGTGGTAAATGATCACCTGGGCAGGTTAGTTAACTGCTGAGCCTCAGTTTCCTCATCTGTAAACTGGGTGCCATGCTTACTTCCTTGATTTTATTAATTCATTAAACACTTATTGAGCAGCGACTACCACCAAGCACTAGGAATACGGAGTTAATACACAAACAATTTCTGCCCTAGAAGAGCTTAATTTCAGGGTGGAAGAGACAAACCAACACACACAAAAAAGAAAGCCAAGATGACCATAGACATTCATTACATTTTACAAGTATGAGACAGAAAAATGGATGCCCTTACCTTGGAATACTCTCCGAAGTAACATTTAAGTAGGACCTGAAGGATGAAAAGGAACCAACCTGCTAAAAGATGGGATGGAGAGCGCTCCTGACAGAGGGAACCCAACCTGCAAAGGCAGGAGGTGGAAACGAGGTCAGAGTAACTGCAAGAGCAGACAGAAGGACTTAAGCAAGACAAGCAGCGGTCCAGGCTGAAGGAGGTGGGGAGAGAAGCAAAGCGTGTTAAAAACACCAGATTTTATTCTAAGAACAATGGGGCCCCACCGAGAGCTTTTAGCAAGAAGGGCAGTACCTCAGCCAACTTTGGTTTACTTTAAAATATTACGTCTGCTGCAATTCTGTGTGGAGAATGGTTTGAAGGGACACAGAAGTCGAAGGGAGGAGGCCCCTGCAGGGGCTCGAGGAGACGCTGAAGGCGGCGGGCACGGAGTGAAGCGGGCCGATTCGGGGAACGTTGAGGAAGTGGTGACAGCTGCTAACGTTTCCTCGCGCTCACGTGGGGCCAGGCACAAGTTGAAGCTCCTTACCGGTATAAACTCATTTCACCCTCCCGATAACCCTGTACTACGTACCACGACCCACCTGTGGGGAGGGTGGGCACAGAAAGGTTAAGTGCCCGGCATACGGTGCGCGCTCGCCATGCGCTGCCCGGGACACCCACCTGTTCAGAGGCGACGCCGGAACAAGAACCGAGGTGAGGCCCCCCAATCCTCTCAGGACACGTGCCTGCTGCGCACCCCTGAGAGGTGCTGTCACTGGAGAGAACCGAGGCCCAAGGGCAGCCGGAACCCTGCCCCGTGTCTTCCCCGGCGGCGCCGCTTCCCTCGCCGGCCGCCTGCCGCCTGCGGGGCACTCGTGAATTCGCCGGACCCCTGCGGCCCGCGCACACCACCAGGCCGGGGTCAGGATCGCCGGCCCGGCCGAAGCCCGCGACAGAGCGCGCGGAGGACGCGCCAGCATCCACAGCCCCACCTCACGTACCTGAGGCCGCAGAGCCCACCGCCACCCGGGGGCCCGCTCGCCCGCGCCTGCGCACGGTTCAAACCCTCCGGCCGCGGCGCGCGCCTGGAGGCCCTGCCCCTTCCCCTTCCGGGAGGCCCGCCCCCGGGTCCTAAAGAACGTCGGATCCAGAGAGGCTGCCGGGCGCTGCTTCGGGAGGGAGTAGAGGTGGGACCTGGCTCTCCCTAGCTCTCGGCTCGCCTCCTGGCGACTTCTAGAAAAGGGAGAGAGAAATGCAAAAGTGTTTCCTAGCTCCTCTCAGTTAACTAGCAAACCTCACTCCCTTTATAGGGATTCCGATGGGTTCAGACGCCGAGGGCTCGCGGGAGGGGTGTTTATTTCAAGGATAAAGAGGACGAGCTGCGGACTGGGAGGCCCGTGTCCTGTGAGGAGCGGGCTCGTCGGGCGCAGACTGTACAACCTGTTGTGAAATAAGCAGTTAGGAGTCCCATCAGTCTCAACCTCCAGTGTCTGTTTCTAAGGTGACCCCGCTGTGTGTTCTTTTTAACCCTACTGATTGGCCAAGAGAGAGGTCTGAAATAAATTCGTTTGCAAAACGGAACTCCCTCCATATTCCTCGCCCTTAGTAAAGATGTTCGCTGTGGAATTTGGGCTCGATGCAGTTTATGCCCTTTACCCTTGGAGTCTCTTGCAGACCAGGCATCTCTCCCAGAGGACTGCATGAGATAAATTTGTGTAAACGTCCTAACGGCTCATCTCGTTCGCTCATTGAAGGTCTGCTTTGTGCCAGGCACAGGGCTAAGTGCTGGAACAGACATCGTAGCTGCCCTGAGAGCTCGACCCCAGTGACTTGACGATCTGAACGTGAATCCTGGACTTGGCTCGTTTGGTTTTTGTTTTGTTCACACTCCTTTTGTGTCTTACAACGTCTAGGATAGTGCCATAGGTCAAAATGGTCAAAAGTAACTTATTGCAAGGAGGGGGGAGAGAATGAAAGAAATCACGAACTAGGACACATCGAGACAGCACCTAAGTGTGCGGGATCCCCAGCTGCGGGTGGGAGTCAAGAGGACGAGACGGGGGGCGGAGCCTCCCGCCCGAGGCGGTTCCAAGGGAACGCTAGTAAAGTTTCCAGCCAATAGCACTGCGGGATCAACGCCAGTGGCTCGCGGGCCGTCCAATGGGAGGAGACGTTGGAGTTGCACGCCAAGTTCTGCTTCCCGAGCGCCGGTGGGCGCGGCCGCGGTGGGCGGTGTTGGGCTCTGGACACTCGACTCGTGAGTTAGGAATTTCGGACTCGGTGGTGGCCGTGGCGATGTTTTTCGCCGGGGCCAGGCCGCGGACTTGGGAAGCCAGCCCGTCGGAACAGAGGAAGTGGGGGGAAGTAGGTGTCCGCAGGGCCACTCTGAGTCTGGGACTTGAACTTGGTCTGGTCTGTCACTTCTGTCCCCACGCTTGGGTCTGACTCAGCCCGGCTGTACAGGCAAAAGCTGGACTGCCCTTCCAAAGGGTCGTGGTTAATGATTGAGCCCTGGGCTGCAGGGCTTCTGGCTTCGGTCCAGTGTCGTGGCTGCGTTCAAGTTCCTTCTCTTCTATATCCCGCTACGTAATCTTTTAAATTCGAATGATGCTCCGTGCACAGGTGATGAAACTGAGGCAAGTGAGACGTGCGCGGGCATTCTTCAGACAGCCGGAAACTCCGGTACCGACTGGATATTTCACCATGTTAAGGACGCACTGCTGTTCTTTATAGTCCTTTTCTTCAGTAGAGTACTGCACTATGAGTGCCCTTCAAAGTGTTAATGGGAAGATTCGTATATTTTTTTTTTTTTTTTTTTTTTTTTTAAAGATGACCGGTAAGGGGATCTTAACCCTGAGCTTGGTGTTGTCTGCACCACGCTCACCCAGCGAGCTAACCGGCCATCCTTATATAAGGATCCGAACCCATGGTCTTGGTGTTATCAGCACCACACTCTCCCAAGTGAGCAACCGTTAAATCGTTTGCACTTTTTTGGGGAGGGGGCGGGGTAGATTTTAGCCCATCACTAAGACTACTTGAAAATTAAAATTAGGAATAAACTCCGTTTCTAATCCCTACTGCTGGGCTGAATTTTAGATTTTTTGAAGTCCAAATTTAATAAAAACTAGTAATAAAAATAACAAATAGTTTTCTTGTTGACTAAACATATTTAATGTTCTTTAGGTATTTAAAGCGTGTGATGAAGATAACAAAGGCTATCTCAGCAGAGAGGATTTTAAAGTTGCTGTTGTAATGCTGTTTGGGTACAAGCCCTCCAAGGTAGCGTTTCCTTTATGTATTTGGGCATGCGGTAGACAATGCAATAGTGAATGGTTCCTAAGAAAAGTGCAGAGGGCTAGTTTAGGATGTGTATAAAGCAAATCGCTGCTTTATAAGCAATTTCAGAGATGTGTTCAGTGCTGAATTTTACTTTCTAAGAACCCAACCCAGGGAAAATTAGAATTCAGTCTCACTACTAGGCTAATAATTGTAATTATGAGCTGCTAGAGAGGTGTCCAGAGGGAAGGCTGGAGGGGGTGTTGGTAACAGGAATTCACATAGGAGGCGACTCATACAATCTCTCGGATTTTTTTGCTTTGTTTAGATTATGAAAGTAATACATTCATATAGTCAAAAAATTAAAGCAGTTGACAAAGGTATAAAGTTGAACATGAAATCCCCTCCCTCCCTACCAGAGTGTCTCACTCCTCGGGGGTTACCATTACTCACAGTTTCTAGTGTAGCATTCCAACATTTCCTACCCATGACAAACATATGAGCCTTCTATTGAAAACATAAGCGGGTGCATGCTATGTCTACTTTATTTTAACTTGCTTTACTCACTTACAGCAGATCAGCCTAAAAGCACACACCACTACCACATTTTAAAAAATAGTTGCATAGTATTCTTTAGCCAGTTTCCTGTTTTTGATTATTTAGATTGTTTCCATTTTTCATTCCTAATGTGAGCATACTTTAATATCTAAATACATACACACATATATATGTCCTTGTGGATGTATGTCTGTGGAATAAATTCTTAGATGTATAATTGCTAGGTCACAGGATAGTAACATGTGAAATTTTGTTGGATATTGCTTTTCAGAAAAGATTGCACCAGTTCACCAATAGAGAGAGTTGAGCTGAGCCTCAATGAACCTACTTGAGGACAATTTTCCTATTCACTCTGTCTCTTTATGTTGTTCTACTTGCCTGTTACCAACCATGCAAGAAACGATCCCTTCCTTTTAAGCTGCTGAACTGTACTTATCAGAGTCAAAATACTGTTCAGATTCAAGAAATTCAACTGCACCTATCAAGCAAAGAGAGCACTCAGTGTTCTGCCTGGAATACCCACTTCATTAGACCAAACAGCTTGGCAATCAATTATGGCCCACCTGTGCCTCATGAGGGGCTCTACCCTTCTGTCAGATTGCAAGCCCAGCCAAGCCAGGGACCCTGTGAAGTCCCACTTCTGCTAGTGTGTTTAAATGCATCACAACTTCACAGTAAATATTTTCTGTTGGTCCAAATAGGTTGCATGAACAGCCCAGCTGGATTCAGGGTGGTTCAACTATTAGGGGTTGCTTAGTTACTGAGGGGCTGGTTACAGAATTCAGGAAAGTAGTCTGGGCTGATTGTTTGAAATTGCAGCTCTCTTGTTAACCTGCAGTCATTTCAGCTGGAATTCCAAAGTGGTTCAGCTAAAAGGACTCAGTCTTTGAAGCATTGTATTTAACCTGGGTTCACCTGGAAAAATATACTTATCACCCTTGAATCTATTCATTTATTCGGTTTTAATTTTAGAATATAAGTGAGGAATTTAATGACAGGTACAATGGGGTAGTAACATACTGTATGTAACACTCCATGCAATTTAACAGATTTTTACTTTTCATTCTTGGTTGAGGTTTTGAATTTTATTTTTGAGCAAATATTTATTGACTGCAGGTCACTAAATAGTACTAATATAGCAAATCACCTATTAACTTATCAGTCATTTGTACAATAAACTTTTATTAAATAAGTGACAATATATACCTTCCATGAAATTTAACAGACTTTTACTTTTATACTAGGTTGAGGTTTGGGGTTTAATTTTTGAATATCGCCTTTGAGCAAATGTAACATTTACTGACTGCATGTCATGAAGCAGTAAAGCACTTATAAAATAAATCACTTATACTCCTGCAATTGTTTATACAATGAAATTTATTATGTTCCTGTTTAGTAAAAGGAAAACTTGTTAGTTGCTAGAGATATAAAAGTGAAACACAGTCCCTACTTTGAAGTGGTTCACAGTTTAGTGCAGAGAGACTGTTAAAAACCAAGACAGAAGAGAGACTTTAAGAATAGAAAGTAAAGAGGACAAAGAAGGAAGGCCTAGTGCTAGTGGTAACCATAATAATCTGGGTGTCATTTAAACTAGAGAAGCTAGACTACTCCAGTATGAAGCACCTAGGAATGCTTTGTGGGTGGTGGGACAGATTATGCCCTGGTGATTGACTGGTGGTGGTGGTAAGGGAGTGGCATGACCACCAGGACTGAAGGGATGGTGATGCTGTTAAGTAAGAGAAAATTCAGAAGGGGTAGATTCAGAGAAAGTCAGTGAGTTCAGAGTGAGGCACATTGAGTTTGATGTGGCTATGGGCATTCCAGGTGCATTCACTTCTTAAATACTCTGCTGGGTATGGTGGTGAAAATATGCTCTTAGATTTTACTACCTCCCTTAGATATAGGAATCTGAAATTGGGTGTAAAGTATTGGGCTGATGATACATTTGGGACTCCTCAGTTTGTAGGTGGTGCTCAAAAGGTGAGAATGGATGGTATTGCCCAAGAAGAGGTTGCAGGGTGTGAAGACAGTAGTCTGAGGATAGAACATTAGGGAATACCAATATTTAAGGGTAGGCAGGGGACTACATAGAGAAGATGGCACGAGAACCATTTGGGAGGGACATGAGGAACCAGGAAGGTGCAGGGAATCCAAGACTGTGGAGAGAGTTCAAGACCAAAGGTGGAGAAAGAAATTATGTCAGATGCTGCCGAGGTTCTAATTCTATATTGTTTATAAAGCCCTTGTAACAATGTAGGAAAATGCTTATATTTTAATATTTAGTGGAAGCAGGTCCTCAAACTTTATATAGTGTGTTCTCAAATATGTTTTAAAGTGCATAGGGAAAAAAAGCCAGACTAGAACAAAATATTAACAGTTGTTTTCATTGGATAACTGGTTTGATTTCCTTCATAATTTTAATTTTTTTAAAAATAACACCAAGGTCAAGGCAAGGGTAAGGATCCCTGTACCTGACAGCCACCAAAAAAAAAAAAAAAAGAAAAGTTTTTTATATTTTTCATGTTTTCTACATCAATCATATGTTACTCTTGTAATCAGGAAAAAATGTAAAAATAAAGCAATAGAGCCCATTTTAACAATGGCTTGTATTTGTCTAAAGCAGAAAAGTTACCTTTTAGATTATTCTGTATATGAGACAGCCAAATTGATTTTATATACTTAAACTGTTTTGGTTAATGGAATAAAGTTTTAAGGGCCATTAGAGTATATAGCAGATTAGCATCTGGTATCTTTCACTCTTATAGCTGTTGTGTGACATTACTTGTCTGCTGGGTTCAACAGTTGGATTCTCATAAAATACATTCCTTTCCCCATACCAGGAATTAAGAATATGCACTGTGAAAACATTTGATAAAACTACATGTCCTGTTATTCTTTCCTCTTTTCTAGATAGAAGCGGATTCTGTGATGTCTTCAGTAAATCCAAATTCTTCTGGTAATATGAATGTTAATATTAATTTTTAGTACCCTTATTTAGACATTTACAAAACTAAAATTGAGAAAAAACATAGAGACTCTAAAGTATTATGTTTAAGTATATCTTTGTTTTCTCATTATTCAAAAGAAAGGTTTTGGTTCTTTTAATTTTGACTTTTTTTGTAAGTATGATTTGTTTATTATAGGAAAATTTTAAACCATTGAAAAACATAAAGAAAATGTCACTCATAATTTCTGTATTCAGACGATGATTCTGGGTTTTCTGATTGAACAGCTGTATGAATGGAAGTGAAAGTTACCAAAATGGGAAGACTGGGGAGAATATTTGGGGGAGACCAAGAGTTCAATTTTGAATATGTTAAGTTTGACAAGTTTTAGTCCACTATGTCAAAGCCATTGTGCTGTATGAACATGGAATTCAGAGGACAGCTCTGGGCTGCAGAAATAAATTTGGGATTCATCAGCATGTAGATGGTTTTAAAAACCATGGGAATGGATGAGACCACCTGGAGAGATAGAGTAGACTAAGAACCTTAGGAACTACAGCTATTAGAAGTCAGATGGAGGGTGAGGAAATGGCAAAGGAGAATTAGGAGTGACAGGGAGGCAGGAGGAAAATCAAGAGTGTTTGATCAAAAGCCAAGAGAAGTGGATATTTCAATGAAGAAGGTGTGGTCAGTACTATCCACTGCTGTTGAAAGGTCAAGTAGCATGAGAACTGAAGCGTGTCCATCGGAGGTGGCAGCCTGGGGGTGTCCGGTGACTTTAGCAAGAGGAGTTTCCATGTGTGATGAGTGCAGAGGCCAGGCTAGAGTGAGCTGAAGATAAATGGAAAGTGATCAAATTTGGCAATGTGAGCAGGTACGTCTTCCAGTAAGTCTACAGTGGCTGTGGATCAAGAGATGTTTCATTTGCTTTTTTTTTTTAAGATGGAAAATCATGTTTCTAAGCTTAGCAGAATGATCTAATGAAAAGAGGGGAGAGGAAGATGAGAGTGAGAGGTAAATACTCATTGTGTGAGGGGATAGGATCAAGAGCATGCTGGATTGGCTTTTTAAAAATTACCTTTTTTTTGAAATAACTTAAAGCTAACAAAAAAGTTGCAAAATAAAAATAGTACAGAGAAAAGCTATATACCTTTTATCTAGATTCACTTATTGTTAACATTTACCCCATTTTCCTTCTCATTTGCACTTTCTAACACTGCCCTCTCCCCTCTACTGTACATAACCACAGTATGCTTATCAGCTTCATAAATTTGTAGAAACTATGTTTTTATCAAATTTACCATCTATATTCTAATTTTGTCAGTTGGTCTCATAATGTCCTCTTAGTATAGGAATTAGTTTTTGGTGCTAATTTCTTTAGCTTCCTTTAATCTAGAATGTTTCTGCAGCCTTTCTTTTCTTTTCTTTTTTTTAAAAAAAAAGACAGAAAGAAACAAATTTTATTTCTCAACATAAGCTCCATCAAGTTCAAGACACTTTTGTAAGCCATGATACCAGCCATTTAGTTCATCCCTAAAGAACTGAGGATCCTGGGAACTCAACCATGTCAATGTAGTCCTGTTTACATTAACTAAAGAAAAACGAGTGCCCTTTAAAGATTTTTTTAAGATTCGGAAACAAAAAGAAGTCATAAGCCAAATCAGGATTGTTGGGTGGATACCTAATGATTTTCCATTGAAACTCTTGCAAAATTGCCCTTGTTTGTTGAAAGAAATGAGCAGGAGTATTGTGGTGGAGAAGGACTCTCTGGAGAAGCTCTCCCAGGTGTTTTCTGCCAAAGCTTTGGCTAACCTTCTCAAAACACTCTCCTAATAAGCAGATATTATTCTTTGTTCCTCCACAGAGTCAACAAGCAAAATGCCTTGAGCATCCCCAAAAAACTGTTGCCGTGCCTTGGTATTGGCATGGTTGGTATTGGTTGATTTGTCTGCTTTTGCTTTGACTGGTCCACTTCCACCTCTTGGTTTGATTGTGCTTTGCCTTCAGGATCATACTGGAAAAGCTGTGTTTAATCTCCTGTTACATTCTTCAAAAAAATGCTTCAGGATCTTGATCCCACTTATTTAAAATTTCCATTGAAAGCTCTGCTCTTGTCCGTAGCTGATGTGGGCTCAACAGTTTTGGTACCCATGGAATGGAAAGTTTGCTCAACTGAAATTTTTTAGTCAGAATTGTGTAAGCTGAATCTATTGTCTCTGGTGTTCCTATTGTTTCTGCTGTTAATCGTTGGTTCTTTTCAACTAGGGCATGAACAAGATTAATTTTTCCTCGCAAATTGATGTGGATGGTCTGCCATTGTGGGCTTCATCTTCAATATAATCTCATCCCTTCTTAAAATGAGTTATGCATTTGTAAACTGCTTATTTCTTTGAGGCATTGTCCCCATAACCTTTTCATCAAGCTTCAATGATTTCGCCATTCTTCACCCAAGCTTCACCATAAATTTGATGTTTATTCTTGCTTCAATTTTAGCAGAATTTGTGTTGTTCTGATAGGGGCTGTTTTCAAACTGATGTCTTATCCTTCTTAGTGCCTCAAACTAGATCCTGCAGTGCCCAGGCACCACAGTGGCGTGCACAGTTTGCCACCCAGCCCAGCCTCGCTGCTCCTTCCAGCCAACTGTAGGCTTTTTTTTCCTTTTTATAACATTGATATTTTTAAAGAATACAGGCCACCGCTCAGTGTTTTGTGTGTGTGTTTGGTGGGGAGCAGCTAGCCAGTGAGGATCCAAACCCTTGACCTTTGTTTTATTTTTAAAGAGCATTCCTCATTTTGTGTTCACCTGATGCTACTCTTTGATTAGGTTGACGTTATGCCTTCTTGGCCAGAATGCTGTTTAGATGATAGGTCTCTTTCAGGGTACCACATCTGGAGGCACACAGTGCCCATCTGTCAGTCACAGGTGATATTAATTTTTATCAATAGTCAAGATGTTGTCCAGTTTCTCCATTGTAGTATTTCTTTTTTATTTTCTTCCCTTGAAACTAATAAGTAATCTGTGGAGAGACACTTTTAAGACAGTGCAAATATTCTGCTTCTGATCAAAATTTCCCCCCAGGTTTGGTATTCATTTATGATTCTTATCTGATCTAGTTTTTGCCATAATGCTTGCAGAATAATTTTCTAATCCCAGTGATTTCTTCTGTCAGCTCTTGTTGTTCTGCTATAAGCGAGAGACCTCCCTTCCTCCTGATATATTTATCCTTTTATTATCACCATGAACTAGTGAATTACTATGTTTTTAGCGATTTATAATTCATGAGTGTACTTGATTATATTAATGCTGACATTGTCACATTTTTGGCTTGTGAATGCTCCCTCAAGCCGGCCCCTGTGTCCTTTTGACTGGTTTGACTTTTTCTTTATTTTTAGAAATCTTTTTTATTTATGATTTACAGAAGAGTTACAAAGATAGTACAGAGAGTTTTTAACTATCTTTAATTCAGTTGTAAGAAAGATTGAGACATGAACAATATAAAAAGTCCCTGTTAAAATTTGAGAGATGAAAACTACGTCTGAGATAAGTATACTAGATAGAATTAAGAGATGATTAGATATTGCAGAAGAAAAAGAAATAGTGAACTTAAAAACAGGCAACATCAGGGTATTTCAAAAAGTTCATGGAAAGATTTATATTATCTTTTAATTCTATTTTTCTACAAACTTTTTGAAATACCATCATAGAAACTGTCCAAAATGAAACACAGAGGCAAAAAGATGAAGAAAGTAAACATCAGTGAGCTTCAGGACAACTTTAAGGGGCCAAATATAAGGAAAATTTAAGCCCCCAATGGAGAGGGGAGAGAGGTAGATAAAGTTTAAAAAAAAGTTAAATAGTGCTGAAAAAGTTTCAAATTCAGTAAAAACTATAAACTTTGAAATCCATGCAGTTCAATGAAACCTAAGAACAAGAAACTTGAAGAAAACTACACCAAGGCACAGCATAATGAAATTACTTAAAAGCAGTGATAATGTTAAAAATGATCTTAAATGTAAGAGACACATTACATGCAAAGGAGCAACAGTAAGAATGACAGCAGGCTTTTTGTAGGGAACAATGAAAGCTGGGAGAGAGTGGGGGCATGTCTTTTAAGTACATGCCAAAAACCCCATCAACCTAGTTGTATTAGTCTGTTTTATGTTGCTTATAGCAAAATTCCTGAAACTGGGTGATTTATAAAGAAAAACAATATTTATTGCTTACAGTTTCTGAGGCTGAAAAGTCCAAAGTCCATATGGTGGTGGTGACAGTGACCCAGTGGTCTCACATTGCAAGATGGTGGAAGCAGAGAGAGCAGAAAGAGAGAGACAAACTCTCCTCTTCTTTTAAAGCCCTCAGAACCATGCCCTGGACCACCGTTTGTAATCCATTCACTACGGCATGGTCCTACAGTCATCTCTTTAAGGCTCCACCTTTCAATTACCATAATATGATTTCCCACCCTCTTAACACTCAGTGGAAGCCAAGTTTCCAATACAGAAAACTTGGGAACACAATTCAAGCTCCAGGGAGTTTTGGGGGGACATAATTCAATCCACTGTACTAGTATTCTATTCTGAGCAAAGTATCTTTCAAAAATGAAAAAATTAAGACTTTTCAGCCATACAAAAGCTGAAAGAATTGATCACCAGCAGATTTATTCTACCACAGATATTAAAGGAACTCATTTAGGAAAAAGAAAATGGTTCCAGATGGAAATATGGATCTACAGAAAGGAATGAAGAACACTAGAAATAGTAAATGGATAAATACAAAATAATTTTTATTATTTGAATCTCTTTAAAAGATAATTGGCTGCTTAAAGCAAAAATAACAACAATGAATTATGGGGTTCATAACATGTAGAGTTAAAAATCAATGACAGCAATATCACAGAGACCAGTAGTAGGTGAAGTGAAAGAATATTCTTGAAAGGTTTTTATTCTATACCTGAAGAGGTATAATATCACTTGAAGATAGACAATGATATGCTAAAGATGAGTTTCAGAA